CACCTTTATGTCCCTCTGTGCCAGCCTTGGGACCCCCTCTGGTGCCAGTCTCACATCCTTTGTGTCACATTGCACCCCTGTTGTCACCCTTGGGCCCCGTGGTTCCCCCTGCCCCACTGCCCCCCCACCGTATCCCCCCGTTCCCTGGGGTGAACCAGCTGGCATCATTCACGATGTCCCCCTGTCCCCCCTGTCCCTGATGCCACTGTGGTGTCCCCACAGGAGACAGTGGCAGTGAACCAGCCAGCGTCCTTCGCGGTGCAGCTGAACGGGGCGCGCGGCGTCATCGATGCCAAAGTGCACACGCCGGCAGGGGTGGTGGAGGAGTGCTACGTGTCCGAGCTGGACAGTGGTGAGGGGACGCGGGGACACCGCGGGGACACCGGGTCTGCAGATGTGGGGTGCTGGGCACAGGGTGCAGGACACGGGGACATGTGATGTGGGGACATGGGGCTTGAGAGCATGGGGACAAGGGGTATGGGGACAGAGTGAGACACAGGGACACAGGACATGGTGACATGATGGCATCCTTCAGACTAGTACACACTGGGGTTCTTGTGTGGGGTGTGGAGACACAGGGATGTGGGGACACAGGACACAGGAGTATGGGGACGTGTGTCTGTGCCCCCCTGATATGCACTGGGGTTCCTGCTGTGCAAGAACAGGGGTGTGGGGACATGGGGACACAGGGACATGGGGACACAGGGACGCGGTGACACGGTGACATGTCTGTGTCCCCCAGACCGGTATGCCCTGGGGTTCCTGCCGCGTGAGAACGGAGTCCACTCCATCGACCTGCGCTTCAACGGGCGCCACGTGCCCGGGAGCCCCTTCAACATCCGCGTGGGCGAGCAGAGCCAGGCCGGGGACCCCGGGCTCGTCACTGCCTTTGGGCCGGGCCTCGAGGGTGGCCGCACAGGTGACACTGCTGTGGAGACAGGGACAGGGCTGTGGGAGGGGGGTGGGGAGAGACACGGCCATGAAATGGTGATGGGGACAGAGCCATGATGGAGATGTGGCCATGATGTTGCCATGATGGGAATGTGGCTGTGGGTGGTGACCACAATGGTGTCCTGGTGTCCTCCCCGTGATGCCATCCCCATGTCCATGTCCCAGGGGTGCCCTCAGAGTTCCTGGTGAAGACAGCCAATGCAGGGGCAGGAGCACTGGCTGTCACCATTGATGGCCCTTCCAAAGTGGAGCTGGACTGTACTGAGGTCCCTGAGGGACACCGTGTCACCTACACCCCGATGGCCCCTGGCAACTACCTCATCTCCATCAAGTATGGGGGCCCCCACCACATCGTGGGGAGCCCTTTCAAGGCCAAGGTCACTGGTATGAACTGGGGGGACATGGGGGTGAGAGGGGCCATGGGTATTGGGAGGGACATGGGGGCAGGGAGGAACATGGAACTACTGGGGACACGGGAATTGAGTGGGACATGGGGACATCATGGGCAGCCCCTTCAAGGCCAAGGTCACTGGTACAGATGGGGTGGGGGCAGACACAGGGATGGGGGGCACGGATAAGGGAGACTGGGGGAGGAGAACACAGGAGTCCCCAGTGTGGGGTGACAAGGGGTCAACGATGGGCATGATGGAGGGCTGCAGGAGGGCCACCCTGCAGGACCCCAGGGTGACACGATGGGAGGAGGTCCTGGGGGTGACGTGGTGTAGGAACCCCAGGATGGCATGATGGGGGTCCCAGGGGGAGGGGGGTTGTCCTGGAAAGGTGTCCCCCAGCACGGTGTGATGGGGGTGTCCCTCGGTGGGGGCTGACCGTGTCCCCTGGTACTCCCCAGGCCCACGGCTGTCGGGCGGGCACAGTCTGCACGAGACCTCGACAGTGCTGGTGGAGCCGGTGGTGAGGGCGGGCTCGCGGGGCCCCCCTGCCTTTGGGGGGGTCACCAAGGCCCCGTCAGACGCTGGGCAGGTGGTGGCCCGGGGGCCAGGGCTGGCAGCCGCCCGCCTAGGCCACAAGAACCACTTCACCGTGGACTGCAGCAAGGCCGGTGAGGGACGCTGGGGGTCCTGGGGGTGGGGGCGGCTGGGAGGGGGCATGGGGCTGGAAGGGCAGGTGGGGGCTCAGCGGAGCGCTCCAGGGCTCCTAGGGGAGTCCTGTGAGGGCAGGGAGGAGAGGTGGTGGGGCTGTGGGGTGTTCAGGGAATTCTGGGGAGTCTTCAGAAAGGATGGGGAGCGTTAAAGGCGGGCCTGGGGGCCCTGGGACGGGAGGGGGTGGGTGAGTGGGGGAGTCTGGTGAAGGGTCTGGGATGCAGGGGGGAAGTTTGGGGCGACCCTGGGGTGTCAAGCTCAGGGTTCACCCTGCTCGTGTCCCCCCAGGCACAAACATGCTGCTGGTGGGGGTGCACGGTCCCAAGGCCCCGTGCGAGGAGGTGCACGTGAAGCACGAGGGGAACCGCGTGTACACGGTGACCTACAGCGTGCGGGAGCGCGGCGAGTACGTGCTGCTGCTGCGCTGGGGGGACCGCGACGTCCCGGGGAGCCCCTTCCGTGTCACTGCGGCCTGAGGGCCCCGGCATGCAGGGGTCGCGGGCCTGGCAATAAAGCACTGGGAGAGGAGCAGCGGTCCGAGTGGTGACTGGGGGCTGGGGACACTGGGGAAGGACACTGCGTCTAGGTGTGGCAAGACACCACAATTGTGGGGTGTGCAGAACGGCACAGAACGGTTTGGGGGTGGCCCTGGGGGTCTGGGGCAGGATGGTGGGGCCTGGGGGTTCCAGAGCAGGACATCCTGGTCCTGGGCGGTGGGGGAGATTCTGTGGGCTGCAGGATGGGATTACGAGGCCCCGGAGGGAGATGGTGGGGTCCGGAACAGAACACTGGAGGCGGCCTGGGAGGGTCTGGAGCAGAGTGCCCGACTCCTGTGGGGGTCCAAGGGGATTCCATGGCAGAAAGCGGCAGCCTGGGGGGCCCAGGGGGGGTCAGGGGTCCCGGCCAGCGTGGTCCGGGTCCGGGGTTCCTGCGGGGCCCGTGCCGTCCGGTAGGGGCCGCTGTGCATGGGAGCGCCCCGCGTCCCCTCAAGGGCACGGCGCTCTGCGCATGCGCGCGGCGCGGGGCGGGGCCGACGGTAGGGGGTGGGACGAGAACACGGAGGGGCGTGGCCAGCAGGGGCGAGGCTCCTCCCATATTGGTGGGCGGGGCTTCGCGCGTTGCCGGGCAGCGGCGGGCGGGGCGCTCCGGGAGCGGCGGCGGCGGCGGAACCCGGAAGCGGCGGCGGGTTCCGGTCGGTCCCGGCCGGTCCCGAGCCCCACAGCCGCTCCCGGCGGCGCGTCCCCACCTCGCCGGCTCCGGCAGCGGCTTTCCCAGGCTCTCTGTCCCGGTGGGTTCCGTTCCCAGCGGGCCCCGGGCATGGCGGGCCGCGGGAAGCTGATCGCGGTGATGGGCGACGAGGACACGGTGACCGGGTTTCTGCTGGGCGGCATCGGGGAGCTGGACAAGCACCGGCGGCCCAACTTCTTGGTGGTGGAGAAGGAAACAAGCCTGGCGGAGATCGAGGAGACGTTCCGGTGTGTGGGGAAGGCGGCCCGGGAGGGCTCGGGGCGGCCTGCGGGGCCGGGGGGCCAGTAAGGGTCGGGGCTGCCTGAGGGGTCCCGGTGAGTCCCGAGGGGGTCTCGCAGGGGGATCCAGGCAGGGCTCCTGGAGGGGAGGGAGAGGGCTGGCAGGAGTCTCGGGCAGGGTGCCGGGAGGGCTCGGGGCACCGGGGGCCCGCGGAGCGTGTCCCGCCTGGCTGGGCCCCGCGGCGGGCGCTCTGTGCCCCTCACTCGCCCTTTTTCCCGTTGGCAGGGGTTTCCTGGCGCGGGAGGACGTGGGCATGATCCTGATCTCGCAGGCGCTGGCGGAGCAGATCCGGCCGGCGGTCGCAGCCCACGCCCGGGCGCTGCCCGCGGTGCTCGAGATCCCCTCCAAGGACCACCCCTACGACCCGGCCCGGGACTCGGTGCTGCGCCGCGCCCGGGGGCTCTTCGCACCCGATGAGCTGCGATAGAGCCCCCAGGAGCCCCCGCCCCTCCCCACACTCTCCCAAATCCCCCCAAATCCCCCTCTAAGCTCCCCCAAGCAGTTCCCCAATACCCCCCGGGTGTGCAAGCCCCCGCGGCACGCCCAAACTGTCCCCAGCGCCCGTGGCCTCTTTGCGCCCCCCCATGGGCGACGGGCACCCCCAGACAGTCCCCGGCACCTTCCCAGCCACCCCAAACAGTCCTCCACCACTCCCCCAACTTCTTCACACTCGAAGACCTGTAGCCCTCTCGGGTACCCCAAATCAGCCCCAGGCATCCCATGGGGTCATAAGCCAGGCCTTCTCCACCCCAGGGAAACCCACCCAGGGGCCCCCAGCCCACCTGGGGCTGTTGTGCCCCATGCTTGGGGGTCCCCAGCCCATCCCAGGCTGCTTCTGGGGTGTCCCTGGCATTCCCAGGGTGTCCTTCTGGTGCTGGGGGGCTGTGGTTGCCCCCTGGGTCTGAGGGTGACACGGGGAACCTGGTGTGTCTCTGAGGGTGCCTGGGGCTGCCACAGGGGCCCTGAGGGTGACCCGTGACTATGTCCCAGCCGTGTCCCGTGATGGGGAAGTGCCACCACTGTATCCTGCTGAATCCTGCCAGGTCCTGCCTGTAGGCAGGGAGGGACACTGTGGGGGAGGAAAGGAACACCCCAAGGACACTGGGAGTAGTCTCTGTGACCTTGTCACTGTTCCCCCAGCTCCTCCCCAGCCTCCTCAGCCCCAGCAGAACCTGGGGGGATGGTTATTTATTGTCCTTCCCCAGTGCCCCTGTCATTTGTGTCCCCCATGTGTCTCCCTGCCAGTGTCCCCAACATGTGCTGACACCACTCACTGTCTGCTCTGCTCTGCTCTGTGGGGTGCTGTGAGGGATGGGGGAAGACAAAAATGGGGGGGGACTTGGGGACATGGCCCATGGACAGAGACGTGGAGGGTTCAGGGCACAGGAGCACCCTGAGACCCCCCCATAACCCCCACCCTCGGGGGGACAGCAGGGGTGAGCCCCCTGTGCCCCACAGGGCCTGAGGGCATTGTTCTGAGGGCCTGGGGGCTCCGTCCACCCAGCTCTGCCCCCTTGTTTCTGTTCCCAGCCTCCTTGTCCCCATGGCCCCCCACCTCCTCAGCAGTCCCTGCTGTGCCCCTGCGGACAGGGGTGACACCTGGAGGGGCATTGAGGGGAAACCCACATCTCTGGGGGCCTGGGTGGTGGCCGTGCTGGGGACATGCAGTGGGCAAGGGTGGGCACGGGTGGGCATGGACACAGTTGTCACAGATGTGCCACACGCAGGTTTCTCACACAGGTGTCTCACACATACCACAGACACACACACACACATTTATCACACACAGAATCCCAGAACAGTGTGGGTGGGAAGGGCCCTCTGGTGATGATCCAGCTCAGCTCCTGCCCAGGCAGGGTCGCCTGGAGCAGTTGACATTTGTCCAGGTGGGTTAGGATGTCTCCATGGAGGGACACCCCTCACCCTGCTGGGCAGCTCTCCCAGGACTTGGCCTTTCCATGGTGGAGGGAAGCTGTGCCTTGTGCTGAGCTGGGACTGTTGGAGCTCAGGGCCTGACTTGTCCTGTCGCTGGGCAGGACGGGGCTGGGTCTGGCACCATCCTCATAACCTGGGGAGGTCTGGGGTTGGTGGGATCCCCCCTCAGATATTTGTATGAATTGGGGCAATCCCCTCAGCTGAGGGATTAGTGTGGACATGTGAGCAGCAGTCCAAAGCTCCACGTGGACCCAGGAGCCCTGGCAGCCTGTCAGGGACACAGGGGGCATTGCCAGGAGTAGGGGCACATTGAAATGGCTCCAGGCCGTGCAGGTGACTCAGAGTGTGGTGACTGGGCCAGGCAAATGGGACGTGGAGCAGCAGGACGTGGCGTGGCAGCTCAAGCAGCAGGATTTGTAGGAGGGCACAGCCACCCCCCTGACTCTTGAGGTGTGCTCTCCTCAGGTGGGGATTGTTTTTTTCACTTGTCCAACTTGATTAGACCCAGCAGTAGTTCACACACTGACAAAAGCCATAGCTAGCAGGAGTGGGGAGAAGCAGATAGAGCTCCCCAAGAAACAGTGGGCTGCAGGGAGTGTCTGAGCCTACTGTTGCTGCTGGAGGACAGTGGAAACAGCACTGCATGCGGTGTGAACAGGTGGGGGATCTTACAGGGGAGGTGGGGAGGCTGAGGATTATCAAGGAGTGCCAAGGAGAAACAGACTGGGGGAGTTGCACCCTTCCATCCAGGAGAGAAATGCAGTGCATGAAAGCTCAGCAAGAGTCAGAGCAGCCCTGGCCCTCTTGCCATCAGGCAAGAGGAGACCTAAAAGCTGGGGAATGGAAACAGGTCCCTGCTTAGGGAGGTAGCAGAATCCCCTCCTGGCTTCCCTCGCCTTCCCAGGTGCCCTTACAGAACTGATACGAGGTCCTGGATTTTGAGAGTCAGATAATTGAGTGGAGAAGAAAGCCTGCTTGGTGAGTGTCCCAGATCAGTGCAGTCAGTCAGACAGATCACAGCTACAGTTATTAAAGAAAAAAGAAAGAAGGGTATTTGTGTGTGATTCACTTCTGAACGGGGCTGAGGACCTGTATGCCAAGCAGACCCATCCCACAATCTGCTGCCGCCCTGAGGCCCACGCAAGGGACATTGCTGAGAGACTCCCTGCTCTAATTCAGCCCACCAGTTGCTGCCCACTGCTCATTGTCCTGATGAGAAAAGTACCAGGGTAACAAAAAAGGACTTCAAGGCACTGGCTTTCCTGGTTGAAGGGACAAGAGCACAAGGTACAAGAGGTGGTGGTCTTGATTCCTTTGGTAGTAGGGATGAATGCCAAAATGAGCAGGAAAACCCATGGGATCAAAAAGTAGCTTAAAGACTGGTGCCATTGGTGGGATTTTGGATTTTTTGAACATGAGGTGGTGTGTATAGCACCAGGCTGGAGGTAGATGTGTTCACCTCTAGAAGAGGCAAAAGGGTTCCAACCTGTGAATTGGCAAGGCTGATTGAGAGGGCTTTAAAGTAGGTTTGAAGGGAGAGGGGGATGAGAGCACACTCCCTAGAAATGAAGCTGGGGGCAGCAGGCCAGTGCTGGGGAGACACTGATGGCACAGCTAAAGTGCATCTGCACCAATGCAGCAGTGTGGGCAACACAGGAGGAGCTGGAGGCCATGGTGCAGCAGCAAAGCTCTGATGTAGTTGCTGTCATGGAACTGTGATGAGATGACTCCATGACTGGAATGTTGCAGTGGATGGCTCCAAGCCCTTCAGAAGGAGCAGGTGAGGCAGGAGATGTGGTGTGATGACTCTGTACATTAGGGTTGGGTTTTGGCTGTCTGGAGCTCGGTGGCAGTGATGAAAAGGTTGACTGGTCATGGGTGAGAATCAAGGGGAAGGCTGGCAAGGCAGATATCTGGTGGGGGGTCTGTTCTAGACCTCACAACCAGCATGAAGAGGTAAGTGCTGGCTGATGTTTTGTGGTTGCCAGCTCTTGTTTTTGTGGAGGTCTTTAACCTGCTGGATGTCTCATGGAAGCAGCACAGTGGAGAGGAGACAGACTGAGAGGCTCCTGGAATGTGTGGAAGAGAACTTCTGACTCAGTTAGCTGAGCAGCCCACCAAGGGTGGGGCCCTGCTGGACCTGCTGTTTGCAGACTGAGAGGTGCTGCTGGAAGATGTGGTGGTTGGAGCCATCTTGGGCACAGTGACCATGAAATGAAGGAGTTTTCAGTCCTCGGTGAAGTAACAAGGTGAGTCAACAAAACCTCTACACTGCACTGTCAGAGGGTGAATTTCAGCCAGTTTGGGACACTGATTTGGACAGTCCCTTGGGAAGCAGCCCTTAAAAACAAAGGGTCCAGGAAGGCTGGGCATACATCAAGAAGGAAACCTTTAAGGTGCAGGAGCAGCTTGTCCCTATGTGCCTGAAAATGAGCTGGTGGGGAAGAAGTGGTTGTCCCCCTGAACTTGGCATTGGTGAGGCACACCTCAAGTCCTGTATCCAGTTCTCAGCCCCTCAGTTCCAGAAGGACATTGAGGGGCTGGAGTGTGTCCAGAGAAGGCAACATAGCTGGGAAAGGCCTAGAGGGTGAATCCTGTGAGGAGCAGCTGAGGGAGCTGGAGAGGCTCAGCCTGGAGAAAAGGAGGCTCAGGGAGAGCCTTCTCACTCTCCAGAACTCCCTGACAGGAGAGTGGAGCCAGGGGAGGCTCAGCCTCCCAGGCAACAAAGGACAGGACAAGAGGGAGCGGCCTCAAGTTATGCCAGAAGAGGTTCAGGGTGGAGTTCAAGAAATTCTTTATGGAAAGGTGGTCAGGCATTGGAAGGGGCTGCCCCATGGAGTCCCAGTCCCTGGAGGTGCCCAAGGAACAACTGAACGTAGCACTCAGTGGTCTGGTCTGGTGGACAAAGCGGAGACCAGGCACAGAGTTGGACTCAATGGTCCAGGAGGGCTTCTCCAGTGTAACTGATTCTGTGGTTCTGTGTGATTCTGTGATTTGAGATATTTGTATGGATTGATGGAATCCACTCTCAGCTTTCTCCAGACTAACCAGGCAAACCTCCTGCAGTCTCTCCTCATCAACAGACATGCTCCAGACCCTGAATCATCTTTGTGGCCTCCTTGACCCTCTCCAGCAGCTCCTTGTCTTTCCTGAGTTGTGGAGCCCAGAACAGCTTCACGTGGGCAGGGCAGAGGGGCAGGATCACCCCCCTGCCCTGCTGGCCACACTCTGTCCAACTCCCCTGTGATGTCCCACCCAAAGGGGAAGGGAGAACCTGGCACCACAGATGTGCAGGAAGAATGTAATATCTTTGTTAGTGACAAGGATGAAGGGAGGGAGTGTACCCTCAGCAGGTTTGCAGGTGACACCAAGCTGAGTGGGGCAGGTTGCCCCCTGAGGGACCTGGACAGGCCCAAGTTGTGGCCTGTGAGAACCTCATGATGTTTGACAAGAACAAGTGCAGATGCTGTGCCTGGGGAAACTTTGGAATCCATCCAGGCTTGGAATGAGCAGATGGAGGAGCCCTGGGAGAAGGACTTGGGGGTGCTGGAGGATGGGGAGCTGGACATAACCCAGCCCAGAACCCTCCTGTCCTGGTCTCATCCCATAGCATGGGCAGCAGGAGATTCTCTTGGTTGTGCTGTGTGAGGGAGATCAGGCATGCTGACTGCCTTCCATCCAGAGAGCAGCAACTGTATTTTCCCTTATAATTTCATACTGTTATCTTTTTACCCTCAGCCATCCTCCCACAAAGTACTTCAAGAACTTATGGAGGAAAAAATGTAAACTTTCATTTCTCGAGGTATTTAATCAAAGTCAGGTGCCTTTCTGAAACAGATATGTAAAATAAACATATGCCGGGCCCGTGTGGGGCAGCTGGGACACCTGCAGGTCAGTGGTTCCAGGCTCTGGGAGGGAGCTGGAGGAACACCTGGGGACTTCCCTGGCAGAACTGTGGTGAAAGATGCCTCTCGGGGTTCTTTGGCCCTGCTGCTGCTCAGGGACCGGGTGGGACTTTCAGCCTGAGCAGCTGCAGCAGCCACCGAGCAGGGCAGTGATGGCTTTGTGCTTCCAGAGGGACCTGCGGGCTCCGGCCCATGGCCTCTGACCACAGCTCTGCTGCTCTCGACTACGACGCTGCCGCTTCTGCTGCTGGCAATTCCCGTGTGGGTGGCAGCAGTGTCCAGCCAGGGGCCTGGCCCGGCATCGTCAGCATCCAGGCCACCTGGGAGAACGGCACGTGGCACATGTGCTCAGGTGTCCTCCTCAGCTCCCAGTGGGTGCTCACGGTCGCACACTGCTTCGCCAGGGCCGGGTAAGAGACAGCAGGGACAGAGATGTCCCCAGAGCACGGGCAGGTGCCCAGCTCACAGCACCACGGGCCACTTCCCTGCCCACCTGGGGAAGCAGAAGGCTGGGAAATGCTGGGCTGCTGCAGCCCCTGGCTCTGCTCCCTGTCAGCCCTCTGTCCATCTGCTCCCCAGGGGCGTCTCCACATGGAATGTGGTGATGGGGGCCACAGATCTGAGCCAGCCGGGCCCCAAGGCTGCAGTGAGACGCATCCAGAGGCTCCTGGTGCACCAGCACTACGTGCCTGCCACGGCCAGGAACGACATTGCCCTGGTGGAGCTGGACCAGCCCGTGGAGTGCAGCGACTACATCCAGCTGGGCTGCGTGCCCGACACCTCGCTCAGGGTCTCGGAGCTGAAATCCTGCTACATCGCCGGCTGGAACTTTGCCAGAGGTGAGTTCCCAACAGGACGTGTGCTCCGAGGGCGAGCTGGGCACCCCGGGGACACGGGCTGGGCACAGACGGAGTCCGGGCGCAGGGCGGCAGCGGGGCCGGGCTCGGAGCAGCCCGGGCTGGGGAAGGAGTCCATTCCTGGGGAGGGCATGCTGTGGAACGGGATCAGCTGTGAGGTCCCTGCTCACCCGAACAATTCCTGCTGGCCCTGGGAAGCCTCGGGAGAGATGGGCCTGGCCCCTTCCCCAGGCCAACAGCAGGGACACAGCGGGACAGCATCACTCCAACATGGCTCCGTGGGGAAGGGGCAGGGACACAGCGGGACAACATGGCTCTGTGGGGAAGGGGCAGAGCCAGGCCCGGGAAGGGGGTTCACCCCAGGCAGGGGAAGGGATGGGTACCGAGCTGCTGGGGCTCATTCCCCTCTATGCCCACAGCTCAGGGATCAGGCATGGTTCTGCGGGAGTCCAAGGTCCACCTCATGGACACAGAGCTCTGCAACAGCAGCCCATGGTATGCGGGGGCCGTTCATGCTGACAACCTGTGTGCTGGGTACCCGCAGGGTGGCATTGACACCTGCCAGGTAGGAGGCTGTGATGAGTCCCTGAGCCCCTGGCAGCACAGGGACCCCCTCATCCCCACACACAGCACAGCCTGTCCGCAGTCCACCCCTCCCTTCCCCACAGCAGCCCCCACAGTCCCTGAGCCATCTCTCCTGGCACAGGGGGACAGCGGGGGTCCCCTCGTCTGCAAGGACAATGATGCTGACTACTACTGGCTGGTGGGATTGAACAGCTGGGGAAGAGGCTGTGACAGAGCCAGGCACCCCGGGATCTACACCTCCACCCAGCACTTCTACAACTGGATCCTGCTCCAGACGGGCCTGAGCCCAGCAGAAAGAGCTGGTCCAGCACCAGAGCCAGTTGTCACCTCGGCCCCCGAGGAGGAGCCTGAGGAAGCAGAGGAACCAGAGGAACCAGAGGAACACATCAACTTGACCCCTGAGTACAGCCAGAGACCAGCAGTGACATCCTCGGGCACGTCACTGCCCATGGCATTCCCACACCAGTTTCTGGTGCAATTCTGGAATCTGCTGCAGGAGTTCCTGCAGTTTCAGAAGGACAAAAAAGCCTGAGCAGCAGCAGGATGAGCAGGCTCCAGGGCTACCGTGGATCACGGCAGTTCCTGCTGGGCCAAAGGTAGCCTTGGGGCCAGAGGCTTCTCTGTCCTGCCCATGCTGCTGCGCTGCAGCCACAGTGATGCTGACGTGACTGAGGTGTTGAAGTAAAGTTTCTGTGTTCACCATTAACTGTGTTTTCAGCCCTGCTCAGTGCACTGGCAGGCCAACAGAGTCCCTGCTCTGTCCATCTGCTGTGTTGTTCACCTTCATTCTTCAGCCTGGAGAGGGCTCCAGGGAAACCTCAGTGCCCCTTGCCGTGCCTGAAGCAGGTTATAATAGTGGGGGAGAGCGGCTTTTTGCATGGGCAGGCCATGACAGGACAAGGAAGAATGGATTAAATCTAGAGGAGGGGAGATTGGGATGGTGGTGGGAAGGAGTTTTTACTCCGGGGGTGATGAGGCCCTGGCACAGGGTGCCTAGAGAAGATGTGACTGCCCCTGGATCCCTGGAGGTGTCTAAGGCCCGGTTGGACAGGACTTGGAGCAACCTGGGATAGTGGAAGGTGTCCCTATCCATGGAAGGGGGTGGCCTTTAAGGTCCCTTTCAAACCAAACCATTCCATGATTCCGTGACTGTTTTAGAGTGTGTGTGTATCCAGCTCTCTGGAATGCAGCATTTGTGCACAGACACGCACACATACAAGAGCCATGGCCACATCCAACAAGCTGGGACAGAACCAGCCCCTGGGTGTGAGCCCACCTGTGTCAGCTGTACAGACCTGGAAGGAGAAACCTCCTGTGCTCAGCAGCCCCTGGGATCTGGCTGCTCTGGGGCAGAATGGGGACAGCAGCCCAGGGATGGACACCAGAGGTCATGGGCGGACTGAGGCAGCACTGGCTCAGCTGGGAGCAGGCTGCCTGGCCTGTGGCTTTTAACCACATGCCTCCTTACAGCAGCAGTGCGGGGAGGATGCCATCTCATAGCTTTGTAAAAAATATCCTTTAGTGTTTGCTTTCTGCAGCAGGTACCACTACAGCGCCTGGGCAGGATCCCTCCTGCAGGTCCAGGATGGCTCACTTCTCCTAGGCAGCTCTGTCCTAAGGACTGAAGGAGCAGTAGGAATGAGCCACCATCCATATGGAATCATGTGGATTCTCCCATCCCTCTCCTGAGCGAAGTGTGCAGCAGCGAGGGCCAAGCCAATGAAGATCCTGCCCAGGTAGGCTCCCACAAGAAGGGAAGAGGCCCAGCTGCCCATCACAACAGCTCTAGGGCATGAGAAGCATCACTGTCCTCCATGCAGGCCCCAGAAGTCCAGAGCCAAGGGGAAAACAGGCTCAGGGTCCAGGCCTAGGCAGATGAGGACTCCTCTTCAGTGCAGCTCTTCCCTTTATCTGACAAATCCTTGCTTGTGTTCTGCAGATCAAAGCTCTGGAAAGGAGCAGGACAAGGAACTGCTGAGAAATGACACAGACTGCAACAACTGTATCTGCTGTGGCGGCTCTTTTAGACTCTTCCTAGGCAGTGAGAGCTCTTGTGATGGTTCTCACTTCCCCCCTCCCAGCCCAGACTGAGCAGCACACAAAACCCAGCAGAGGGCAAAGCTTCCCGTGCTGCAGTTTCCCCCCTTTGCCACAGGGGAAAAGGGCAGAACTGCTCATCCGACAGGACTCAAGACAGAGCAGGGACAGTCTTCCCTACCTCCAGCTCCCGCAGGACCTCGTCCATGAAGTCTCCTGAGTGCTGTTTGTAAGCCACGGCCAGTCTGATGGCGTCATTGAAGAGCTGGTGGGAAGGACAAGGCTCGTCACTCACAGGATGGGGGACATGGCCATTGGGTTTCTGTAGCAGATGGACACTGTTCCCACATCCCAGGGGAAAAAAAAGCCCTCTGCAGCTCTCCATAGCCACCAGCCACTCTCGTGGAGCTGAAATGATGGACCATTTCCTGCTCTCTGTGCCCACAGCAGCCCCCATGTCCCTGGGCTGCCAAGGGCTCTCGTGGACACCAAGCCCAGCAGCCAAACACCCATCTCACCTTCACCACGTTGGTGCCATCGGCAGCAGACACAAAGTAAAAGGGCAAACTGAACTTCCGGGCAAAGTTGAAGCTTCTCTGGGTCACCTTCATATCCGCTGAGGCAGACAAAGAAGACACGGTCAGTTAGACATGGCAGGAGCTCCAGAAGGTGGGTGTCTTCTGTGTGACACGTCAGCCCCTGCTAAGCCAGATGGGCCACAACCCTGAGACAGCAATCACGAAGGGCTGGTTGGCATTCCCCATGGGAGGGAACCTTCCAGCCTCCTGCAGGGCCAGGTGAACAGTTCTGTCAGCAGGTACATTGAGACACTTCAGCACAGAGGAGTCTGTGCAGGCTGAAGGAGCACCAAGGCCATCCCTGACTGATCCAGGGAAGCCACAGAACAGCTTTTGCTTCCTTTTGCTGCCATTTTTGACCAGGTGCTACTCCAATCTCTTTTGGGTTCTTGATGGATAGAATAGGCAGTGTGGTAAGGAGAGAACTGGAAGAAAAATGCTTGAATAAAACTGAAATGGATGAAATTTGCACTTTTATTTGCTGATGACACAGGACAAGCACCTGTAAAGCAGCAGCCGAGGTCAGTATAGGACCCAGCCCTGGGGGACTGAGGAAATTCTCTGGACCCAAGAGACAAAGGACATTGGTTTTCAGTAAGGACAGGAGTGAATCCCACCACGACCCTGGCAAGCTGGCAGCAGAAGACACACTCACCATCAATCTTGTTGGCCACTACAATGCACGGGATCTCTGGGCGGAATTCCCTCAGCTCCTTGTACCAGCTGTTCAGATTCTTGTAGGTGACCTTCCGCTGCACATCAAACACCTTCCAAGAGAGAACCACCTATCCCGGGGCCAGCCCAGCACGGCTGACCGACCCAGGACAGCTCTGACCCATCTGTGGGGCCAACCCAGGACAGCTCTGACCAACACAAGGATAGAATCCAGAATGTTCCCAGGAAGACACGACGAAGGGAACTGGACGTTATTAGAAAGGGTAAAAGAGAAAGGGACAGTATCACCAAGCCCAGCCAGCAGGAAACAGCCCTGGATGTCCTTTACACTGTCCTGTGTCCTGTGCAAGTCCCTGCCACCCACACAGGGAGCTGGCACTGGGAACAGCTTGTGCCAAGCAGGATCAGATCCTCTGTCTGGACAACTAAAGCACCAGTGAAAATCACCAGTGGAACAGTGGAAAGTGGGGGCGACAGGACAAACCAGGAGATCTGAGCAGGAGAGGAGCCAACAAAACTGGCAACAGGGGCAAACATAAGGACATTGAGAAGACAGCAGAGCCAGGGGATAGAGGAAAAGGGTTACCAGGAGAGACAGACCAGAGCTAACCAGGTCCATCTACAGGGGGTTTATCTGGTAAGAGAAGAAAGAACAATCCAGGAAAGTTTTTTAAGTGACTGGAAGAGACAAGGAACACACAGCAGTGTAACCGTAAAAGTAACACAAAAGCCAAGTGTCACTGAGACCATTCTGCGCCCAAATCCCACAGGTGCAGCTGAGACCCCCTCACCATGATGCAGGCATGGGCCTGGTGGTAGTAGGAGGCGTGCATGCTCCGGAAGCGCTCCTGGCCCGCTGTGTCCCAGAAGTCTGGAACACAAAAACAGCTCAGAATGACACAACTCACCGAGCTCTGTTTTTCCCACAACTCACACCCAGGAGGCAAAGCCCAGCCCACCTGCTCAGAGACACAAACTGAGCTTCACCTCACCAATCTGAAACACCTCAGGGTTAAGAAATTGTGCCAAACTGGGACCTTTCCTTACTGGGCTCAGCTGTGGGCTATGCTGGCACTGGCCATCAACAAAAGAGAAGCCATCAGTGACACGAGTTGTGCGGGACAGCAGGACCAAGACAGGCAGAAGTGCACAGAGCAGTTGCCATGTCTGGCACTCTGTCACTAGGGATGACAACGGGAAACTACCTAAAACTCCAGGAGCTGCTGGGCACTGCTGATTTCTGACCCAGGGATGGTCAGCCGGGGCCCTGCTGTGGGAAATGCTCCAGCACCTCTTGCAGACACCTGACTCCGTTCTCCCAGGGGCAGGAATCATTCTGAAGTGCTGAAGGTAAGTCAGCCAGAAGCAAACAGGTCCCAGTCCATGAAGTTCTGTGTACACCAAGACATCATGGGGCAAACCTGGACATGGCCGTGCCTTTTACTGTTGGTGCAGCTCAGGTGGAGATCCCCCACCTCCCACTGGGTTTGTAGGTTCACATCTGGCTCTGGTTTGCTGTATAAATTGGCACAGCTTCAGTTAAGAATCTCAGTGTAGTCACACCTCTTGTCAGCTGGACCCAAGCATGGTGCTGTATCCGAAGCCAAATGAGCCAGTTTCCTTAGGGATTCCTTTGCACTGATACTGTGACTGGACTCTGTGTTAGACCTACCGGACAGTGACTTTCTTAAACTGCCCAAATACAGACAGGTCCCCACCAGACCACATTTGCACTCACTGTCTGTGTCACAACAAAGATGTTGAGCAGTGTCAGCCCCAGCCCCAAGGAGCCATGACCAGTGACTCCATGCAGAGTCCATCCAGACCATTCTTTATCCTCCGACTGTCCACGGATCCACCCAACCAACCTCCTCCAGCTCAGAGTCCAGGACATCGTTATAAAGTGTGGGGGAACCGTGCCCCACACTTTACCAAGCCCAGGAGGATGATGGCAGTCACTTTGCCCCATCCACCAATGCTGCAGCCCCGTCCCAGGAGGGCACCAGATTTGTCACCGTGCTGTCGTTTATCAAAACACGTAGCCGAGACCCAGAGCGAGGGGATCTGCCCTTCCCTGCTGTTCCCTCTGCCATGGCACGCCATGTCCCCGGGCTGGCCCCACTCACCCACGCGGACCTCCTGGCCGCCCACCCGGGCGCGGTGCTGGTACAGCGTCAGGGCGAACGTGGAGAGCTGCTGGGGCTGGCTGCGCCGCGCTAAGGAGCCACCGTGAGGCCAGAGCCGCCGGGCCGCGACCCCGCCCGCCGCCGAGCCGGCCCGCCGCCCCGCTGCCAAGGATACAAGCCATCGAGCAGGAACCGCTCCAGCAGCCTGCGGAGAGAGCACGCGTCCCGTGAGCCGCGCCACCGCCGCCGCCCGCCCGGCTCCGCGGGACCCCCCGCCACAACCCGCGGGACGCCCGCGCCCCACGCACTTGGACTTGCCCACGGCGCTGTCGCCCAGGCAGATGATCTTCACCGTCTCCTCAGCGCCGGCCGCGGCCTCATCGCGGGCGCCATCCGGGGCTTCCTCCCGCGCCGCGGCCCGGCCCTGCTCCTCCGCCGCCGTCGCCATGGCAGCGCCTGCGCGTGCCCGCTGCCGCGCGACGCGGCCCTGCTCAAGCCGGACGCGGTGGCCCATCCGCTGGTGCGCGAGGTGAGCGCCGGGCCGGGCAGGGCCGGGCCGGGCCGGGCACAGCACGGCACAGCAGGCCTCGCCACGACCCCTTCCTCCCAGCGCCGCCTCTTCCCGCAGGCCGTGCACGACGCCATCCTCCGTCACCGGTTCCTCATCGTCCGCGCCAAGGAGCTGCGGTGCGGCGCAGAGCAGAGCCGCCGCTTCTACCGGGAGCACGCAGGTACGAGCGGGGCGCAGGGCTGCCGGAGCGGCGTGCTGCCCGGGCCGGTGCCCACTCGGCCCGTGTCTCTCCGCAGGGCGTTTCTTCTACCAGCGGCTGGTGGAGTTCATGGCCAGGTACGTGCCGCGGCCGGGCGCTGCCGTGGCCCGTGTGCGGGGGGCTCGCTGCCATGTGCGGAGGTGGGAGGCTCTCGGGACCGCAGCCTGCTGTGACAGCTGTGGTGCCTGGCGGGTGGCACCCCCGAAGGTGTGCAGGTCACCGCTGGGAGCAGGCCGGCAGTGCCAGCGCCGTGGCCTCGGTGCGGCGGTGGCACCGTGGCAGGGCAGGCCAGGGCAGCTGCACTGTGCAGTTTGTAACTACGAATAACCTGTTTGTAATGAGCTCTTCATAATCTTCTCCTACTGTTCCTGGGCCCTTGCTGCAGTGGCCCCATGTGGGCTTACATCCTGGCCCATGAGGACGCTGTCCCTCTCTGGAGATCCCTGATGGGACCCACTAAAGTGTTCCGAGCCCGACACAGTGACCCAGACTCCATCCGAGGTGCCTACGGCCTTACGGACACCAGGAACACGACCCATGGCTCAGGTAGCCTAGCATTCTTGGATAGTTCTTGGGGAGGCAGGAGTGATGGTGCTTTGTCTGCCTTTGCTTTAGTTCTGGGGCTCCAAGTGAGCGATTTGTTCCCTTCTGCAGACCCCACGCGCACCTGGCCAGGTGCAGCCGAGCCAGGCACCTTTGGAGTCCAGCATGTGTTTGTGGTGGCAGACTGGCATCTCTCTCTCATTGCCTTTCCCTCTCTTTTTTCAGACTCACCTGCCTCAGCCAGCAGAGAAATTGCCTTTTTCTTCCCCGAGTTCGACGAGCAGCGCTGGTACGAGCAGGATGAGCCGCGGCTGCGGCGGGGGCAGCTGTTCTACAGCGCCCAGGAGCGCGTGCACCGCGTGCTCGGGGCACAGCCAGCACAGGTACCCGGGCAGGGCGTGCCTGGCTGGCCTGGCAGCCCCTGTGGGCACTCTCCTGGGCAGCAGACACAGAGCTGTGCTGCGTTTCAGGGAGTGTGGGAGAGGGAAAGCAGCGTTGTGCTGCCTGGGATCAGATTATTGGTGTAACAGGCGGATGCTGGGCTGCTGTAGGAAGAGTTCCCCCTGCAGTGCTCATGCTGACAGTCTGGCCATGCAGCTCACTGGCTCCCTGAGTTTGTTTGGGTGTGAACAGGACAGGTGAGTTGGTCAAGGGCCAAGTGAAGGATGGGTTGCTTGTTCCAGATGGGATTGGCCTGGGTTTGCTGATGGGAAGCCTCAGATTCTCCCAGCTGGCTGTTCCCACAGTGCCTTAGGGAGAAAAGAAGAAGAATGTGAAGAAAGACATCAGCAGGGCAAGATGAACTGTCCTGTCCTTGCTCACCTGCAACTGGGCTGGGAGATGAGGAGCTTTGCCAATAGCTCTGCATGTGAGAGCACTTGGAGCCCTCAGTGTCCACAGCCTGCCTGTGTGCCGGGGCAGTTCTGTGTCCTTGGGAAATGGGATGAACAAGGCCATTGAATTACCCAGATACGTGGTGGAACAATGACAGGGTGGTGCAGGAGGGCTCCGTTGGGAGGTACAGAGCCAGGTCCTGGTGGCTGATTTGTGTTTCTCTCTGTGATGCCATGTGAGATGTGTTCCTGGACGGGGTTTCAGTCCATTTATGCTGTCTCCCTATGGGCTCCTTGCAGTGCTGCCATTTTAATTACAGTGCCCTGTTGGAATTTCCTTTGGGCAGTCCCAAATGCTCGGGCTGGGGAAGGTGTGCTGTGCTTGGGGCAGGAAAGCTGAGCCGAGGTTCAGCAGAGCCCTGGTACATCACAGAGCCAAGGCAGGGACTCTCCAGGTGCTTCCAGAACCCCGTGAGATGTTGGGTAGTGACTGACTGACTGACTCTCTGCTGGAAAGCACTGCCCGTGTTTGTGTTCCCTCTTCCTCCTGTCTGGGATCAATTGGTCATTGTTCTGTTCCAGGTACAGATCCAGGGATCTGCAGGACATCACTGCTGTCCCTGTCCTCAGCAGTGTCCAGAGTGGATCTGCTCAGGATCCTGTGTGTCTTCACACAGCTCTGAGAGCTGCTGTCCCCAGTGCTGTTGATGTTTTATTGATATTTTGTCAGATGTTTTATTGATTCCTGGAGGTTTTGCTCAGATCTTTGTGTTTTTAACTATTAAACTTTACTATTTTTCACCTTTCTTCTTTTATGTTGTGCTTTCCTTTTTGGATATTCCTTGGGAATATCATTAACTGATAATTCCTGGCTCACACTTGCCATTTTTGAAGTTTTGGTCTTTTTTCCTACTCACTTGCAATGGTTACACTTGGGAAAAGGGCCCTTCTGAACATTGCCAATGCAGAGAACTCTGCCAGCAGGATTGTCACGGTGACACTGCCTCACAGCCACTGTGGTTTAGGTACCTGCTGGGTGGCACCTTGACATTGCCCTGGCCCTGAGGCTGTACCTGAGCACAGGTGCTCAGGCTGGGCAGCCCATTGCCCCAGACAGAGGATTTATTGTGTGAATCTAAAGCTGTCCAGCAGACTTTATCAGAGACCTGGGGCTGAAGCACATGGTGTTTGATGCAGGAGACAGTGTCAAAACTGATTTTTGCTCTCCAAGGAAGTCTTACAAAATGTCACAGGTAACTCTGCTTTGAGGGCTCTTACCAGAGTGGGTTTGTTTGTTTTGGGGTTTTTTCCCATTTTTTTTCTTTTCCTTGTAAATACCCAGTAAGTGATTTTTTGCTTTTCCAGTGGTGCTTGCCCCATCCCTGGCAGTTTCCTGGGCTGAGCTGGATGGGCCTGGAGCAGCCTGGAGCAGTGGGTGACATCCCTGTTCATGGCCGGGGCATGGAGCTGTATGGTCCCTCCCAGCCCAAGCCATTCCGTGCTCATGGGTGTGTGTTACAGCAGTAAATCAGTCTCCCAGTTGGTCTCAAACCAAGACAATGTGGCACCTCAGTACAGGTTTGAAGGGCAGTTTGAGATCCCTGTTTTTTCCTGGAAGCTGCAGGTGCCTGGCCCACCTGTGGGGTCTGTGCACAGGGCTGGTCACGGCTGTGTGTCTGCAGCAGCTTTTGCCCCAGGTGCCCCAGCACTGTCTGGGGCACAAGGTCCAGCCCAGGCACCTGCAGGGACACCTCAGGTGTGGAGCTGGGACAGGGCATCTCACAGGCACGTGTGAGTTGGAGCCTAAACTTGGTCTGCTCTTGGAAGAATTGAGCAGGCTTGTGTCAGCCCTGGAGGGGACAACACAGTTTGGCCTGGGAAGAAAGGAAGGAAAGGCTTCAGAGGGAAATCAGTGCTGATCCCAGCCCAGGCCTGGCCTCAGTCCCTGCCACCACGGGCAGAACCCTCTCAGCCTGAGGAAATTCACTTGGTTTATTGCTGTAACACAAACTTTTAGTTACTGATTCAGGTACCGAGGAAAACCCAAGATAACAACTGAAGAAACACCTGGGGAAACACCTTTCCTCTACTTTCTCAGGTTCAGCTTCAGTCCAGCATCTTTTCTCCCCTCTTTCCCTGCAGGTTCTGCCTAGTCTCTCCCAGTCCCTGCAGGAGGTGACACAGCACAGAGGGCTGGGGCTGGGCTGGCCTTTGCTTTTCTCTTTGTTTCTTCCTCTTTCCTTCTTGTTTACTCCTTCATGGCACACCCACAGGCTGCAGTTCCTCGGGTGTGTGCCGGCTCTGGTGTCGTCCCTCCCTGGGCTGGTCTCTGCAGGGAGAAATGGGCCCCTGGGAATTTCATGAAGTTTCTAGAGGAAAATGGTGCCATGTCCTGCACCTGGGCAGGGATGTTTCCGTCTGCCAACACTCACGTGAGGGACCAGAGAAGCTGATGGCCATGAGCCACCCCTGAGTCAGCAGTGCACCTCCATGGCCTGACAGCATCCTCAGGTGTGGGAGCCAGAGCACTTGCCCTCAGGTTACCCCCATCCCCTCCTGGGGCACAGGTATGGCCACATCTGCAGCATTGGCACCAGTTTTGGACTTCCCAGTGCAAGACAGCCTGGTCAGAACTGGAGTCCAGCATGGATTGATGAGGACATCTGAGAATCTGACAGGTAAGGAGAGGCTGCAGGCTGGGGCTGCTCAGACTTAGGAGCTCAGTGGGGTTTATCAATGGGTAGAAAGCCCAGGAGTGAGCAGTGAAGGGAACCTCAGGTGTCCCAGGAATGGACACAAGGCAATGGAAATGACCTGAAAACTGGCAATTTCACTGAGACACAAAAAACACTCTTTTATTATTTTTATACTCCAAGGGTGATAAAATAAGGTCACGAGCCCCTATGCCAAGGCAGGGCTTTGGCCTCAACAGCCTCCAGAGTTCCTTTCTGTGCTCCTGGGCAGGTGTGGACCCCGGGGTGTTGCTGCAGTGGCAGGGGATGCACAGGGGCCATGTGGGCACCTGTGCAGCAGGTCAGGCCTCTTCTTCCTCCAGCATGGCCATAATTCCTGCCAGCCCCACCTGGGGGACTCTGTTGCTGTTCAGTATTTCCATCTCTGCAGCTGATCTGTGTTGGAGCCCTGGATGATGGGAATTTCAGACTTTCTGTGCTGACCTGCACTGATCCCCAAAAGAACACTGCATTTGATCTGAGGCTGTGGAGAAGGCTTCCAAAATTGATTGATAGTGCTGGGATTATGGGTTTGTAGTTGGTTAGAAGTGTGTGATATCACAGGGTGGAAAACTTTGAGTTTAAGGTTTTAGAATATAGTAATATATGTAGAGCAAGATGGAGGTTTTAGCGTGGTAGCTGGTCCTTCTTCACGGGTTTGGGTGTTTTTGTGTAATTGGACAGAAAAGTCTGCATTGTGGATTTTGAGTGATTAGTTACTGGTTTAAAAGTGAAAATAATTTAGGTGTCATTTCTTAATTGGATAATTTAGCCTTAAAAGACCATGTGCAGAAATATTGTTAGCCATTTCGTAGCTTGTTAGCAGAATGCTGTAGAGCTCACCACTTGTAATAGAGATAAGAAATAATAAACACCTGAGTCTGAACATGAAACATCGTCTCGAGCGCTTCAATCCCCACCTTGACAGAGGCAGGAAAGAAGCCAAGAACCGGCAGATCTGCTCTTCTCACAACAGCCTGTCTTCTGCTTCTCCCAGGTCTGGAGACAAGGAAAAATGGATACAGTGGAAATAAAGAAAAATTTACCACTTCAGTGCTGGCTGCACTTGTCTCTGCTAAAGCTGCATCTCACTGAGCAGAGCTAGAGACAAGGGTGTTGTAGGTGGCCAAAGATTTTGTGGATTTGATCTTGTGTCAGGCTGTGGGTTCTCACGTGGAAAAGAAAAGGAGCTGGGAAAGCAGCCACAGCATCTCAGGCAAACAGAAGTAATGGTGTTCAGGGAAGGCTGTGCCAGAGAAGTCCAATCCATCCCCACACTGAAAGTTCCACAGGATTAGCAAACAGTCATCTCAGATTTGGGGGTCACAACCCTGTTGTCCACAGTTTTCCCACAGAGCTGCTGTACAAAGCAGGAGGAACAAGGAGTGAGAGAAACACCGAGCTGCAGAAAAAAATCCTCATAGGCTGGGACTGTTTTCTTCCTAGCACAGAAAATAAACCCTCTCCTGTAGGAGTGGCAGGGGTAGGACTGCTGGGACGGATGGAGATGAGGGATCTCTGGAGCCAGCTCTTGGCACCTGTGGTTTATTGCCAAGGGCCTGGGTGCAGGGCCCTGCCTGGAGCTGCTGCCACAGCTCGGAGGAGCCCCAAAGAGGAGCTGGGGAGAGAGAGCAAAAGAGAGGGCCAAAGAGGACAAAGTTCCCATTACAATACAATAAATCTTCTCCTCCACTGAATATTTTAATTTTCACTAACCAATTTAGTACAAGATACAAATCCTGTAGCATTTACATACAGCCTATAAGAATCATTACATTACCATACTGTGTTACATTTTAAACCCTAAAAACTGCTCTCTGGACCCCTTCTGCCAAGCTAGTAGGGTCTGCTCTGACCCTTGGACCTGTCTGCAAGCAGAGGGTGTTTCAGGGGTGTCATCAAAAGGGGATTACCTTCAGCTGGCCATACCATTGTTTTCCAGTTGTTCAGTAACCAAGGTATCTCAAAGCTTGCTTTCATTTCAATCTCGCTTATAGTTTCCATATTCTCAAACTCTTGCCAAGCAATCATAAGGCTTTCCTGTTTCATGTTCCCTAACATTCTCCCACCTCATGCCCCAGACCGGCCAAGCACGGGCTGGATCTGGACACTGACCAAGAGCTTGGTCTGGTGCCACAGACCAGGAAAACCTCATGAGAGACCAGACTCCTGTCTACACAGATAAGCCTTCCCCATGGGCTCCTCCTCACCTGTGTCCACACAGCCACATCTCTGTGATGCACTGTCCAAAGCCCTGGCAGGCTCCAGGAAGAGCCAGTTTTCACCTCTCCATCAGATCCCAATCCCAATTATCAACAAGTCCAGGACTTGATTGGCCCCTCCATTCACACATGACTATTGAGTACTTGTATTAGCCAGATTTCCTCATTAATGCTCCCCTGCCTTCCAAAACATTCCAGATAAACAAAACACAGTTCTGTATCTCCCACAGCACCCAGGGAAAGTTAAAAGCCATCAGCTGTGCAAAGCAGCTGCTGCTGCTTCTGGAACTGAATATTTAAATTTAACATGGGGCGGTTCTTTCCAGAGAACAGATGTTTTATGGAAACTCTTTAGAAATCCATCCATCCCCTGAGTGCAAGGAGAGTTCTGGAAGCAATGGGAGGGACGAGTTATGGTGACAGCACTGTTGGAGTGTCTGTGCAGTCCTGGAGCAGCTCCTGCATGCAGCAGCAGCCACGTTCAGCATTTCCCAGTCCCATCCCTGGGTACCTGCACAGGGACAACAGGCAGGAGAAGTTTAAACACTGGACAGAAGGAACACACCAGAAACACTACAGATGTGAGACTGTGGCAGCACCATCCATCACAAAACTAAGCTGAACCAGAATTCAGATTATTGTTTTCATTATTTTGTGACACAAAGTTTGGAGGTCAGATAAAGGAACCGGAAATCTTTGCGACAGAGAAGAATAAGCCTGAGGCAAAGCCCAGGTCTGTGGCTTCAGCTTGGTCTGTACCCACAGATCAGGGATGGGAAAGGGGCAGCAAGGAGAGAAAAATTAGATAAATTGTGTTAAATTAAACCCTTTGGAAGTTAAAAATGAG